ATCAAGAAAAGACAAAATTAGGGTGGGGTCATTAAAAATCTCAAGAACCATTGGACCAGGAAAGGCAAAACTTATGTAAAAAACATCCTGGGATAGTGTAGATTTTAAATTGTTATACCCCCCGCAAACAAAGTTTAGGGGGGGGGGGGTATATTGGAATCACCATGTCAGTCTATCCGTCTGTCGGTCTGTCTGTCTGTAGACGAGATTTTGTCCGGACCATTACTCAGAAACTATTGAAAGGATTTGTCTGAAAATTTGTTCACATATTATTCACCATATGAAGTTGTGCACCTGATATTTTCATTTTGATTGGATTATTATTTTGAATTTTACAAGTGGTTTTTCATTTTTATTTTGTGGTTTTGTCCGGACCGTTTCTCAGAAACTATTGCAAGGATTAATCTGAAAATTTGTACACTTATTATTCACCAGATGGAGGAGTGCACCTGAAATTTTCAACTCTTTTTGTTATTGTTTTTGCTTTTTACAGGTTTTATTTTTTATTTTAATTGACTTGTTCATTTTTGGCTCATGTATAAGGTTTGAGATATAGAATCTGGAATATCTGTTCAAAAATACTACAGCTTAAAACTACTCATAAAAACTTTAAAAAAAGAAACATCATCAAGTGTTAAAAACAGTTTTTACATTGCACGGATGATAATGTAATTTTATTTGTCTCTTGGGAATAAAGACTGGACATGCATCCAGTTAAAGATAAATTAATGAGTTTGGTGTTGGAAATTGTTATGGCATATCTCTTATCAACCCTGTGTGTGTTATCTAATCTCCAGGGAATAAGGCACAAGAATTTTGTGAAGAGAGATTTCTCTTCTCTTAAGTTATTCTCTTAATTGTAATTTATTGTCTGTCAAAGCACTTCATTACTGGATGACCAGCTCTTTATTTTCAAAATGCATTTCAAATTGATATATCAAGACTAATTTGATTTTGTAGCCTTATGTTTTTTTTAACAATCAGTTTGCAGAGTGACACAACACATAATTGCAATATTTTTTTTTTATGCAGAAATTAAAAAAAAATAAATTGAAAAAATAAAAGAAAATCAGCCAGGATAGCTGAAACTTATGTGGAAGCATCCTTGGGTACGGGGGTATGTTAAGGAAGCATATTTAAGTCATTTTTTGGGAAATTTAGACTTTTCTGGGAATTTTGGCACGTTTCAAATGAGATTTTTGACCATACCTTGAATATACAGATAACATTTTTTCAGCACAACCCCTCATAACTTGCTGCACAGAATTTTGTCAGACTTTGCAGATATTTAGGACGCAATGTATAGATGTGCATATTACCAGGAAATTTTGCTTCCTTTATTATTTAGGACGCAATGTATAGATGTGCATATTACCAGAAAATTTTGCTTCCTTTTTTTTTTAATTTTGGCACTTGAAAATTTAGATTTTTGGGGATATCTTGAATAAAGTGGTGAACAGTTTGTCAGCGCAACTCTTCATAAACTGCTGCACAGAATTTCATCGAACTTTCCAGATATTTAGGACACAATTTGTAGATGTGGATATTACTGGGAAATTCCGATTCTTTCATTTTTTTGGGATTTAAGCACTTTGAGTTTTGGGGTATGTGAGCTTGCTCACTTTTTCTTTCATTTTCAAATGAAGGGCTATGCCCTTTTTCAAGGGGAGATAATTATGAATTGGAGAAAAATTAATGGCGTTTTTAAAAAATCTTCTTAAGAACCACTGGGTCAGGAAAGATGAAACCTATGTGGCATCATTCTCAGGTAGTATAGATTCAAGCTTGTTCAAATCAAGACCCCCAGAGGTAGGGTGGGGCCAAAATGGCCGATCAAAGTTTTACACAAAGAATATATAGGAAAAATCTTCTTCTCAAAAACCATTAAGCCAGGAAAGATAAAACTCAGTTGAAATTATTCTCAGGTAGCATAGATTCAACTTTATTCAAATCATGACCCCCAGGGGGTAGGTTTGGGCCAAAATTACCAACCAAAGTTTTACAAATGAATATATAAGGAAACCTTTTAAAATCTTTTTTTCGAGTACTTCAAAGTCATGATTAGTAATAATCATATGGAATTATCATCAGGTAATGTAGGTTCTAGTTTGTTCAAATCATGATCTCCCTGGTGGATTTAAATTTAAGCACCCCACGCCCCAACCTCAGTAAACTTTCAGTTCTGATCTGATGTGCTTTTTCCTAGCCAATGTGCTCAGGTGAGTGCTGTGGCCCCTTGGCCTCTTGCTTACATTTTCACAAGTTTGGCTTTCCAGAAAGCCTGAAATGTCATCTCTTTGGTATCAATTATGTCAAAGAAATAAAACAGAAAGAGAAATATTTTAATGCAATGAATAAATGGATTATTACACCTGAAGTTCCCAAATGACTTATTCAGCAAACTCCATGCTCAGTAAAGTACGCAGTTTCTTTCGGCCGCAGTATATATATATGGAAAGCATGAACGTCTGCAAGAGCACCCAAGGCAATTTTTGGTGAAATTTCATTCTAGCAGTCTTTGTGCCTCTGGTTGTTTACAATTTACTTGAATTCAAATACTTTCCTTGAAATATAATTTCTTAAAAGCAGCTAATCATTAGTTTGACAGGAATTACTCTAATAAATCCAATTACAGACTAAAAAATTAACATAAAATTAGCATTGACCACTCTTCGTTCATTTTTTGCAGAATCTAATAGTTAGCTTGTTCTTTTGTGCGAGAACCAGTTTTCCCTTCGCGTAAGTAAATCTATATATAGAAATCACGTCATTGTCAATTCACCTTCTGTGGCTTACCAATTTAATAAGGCATAGTATTGAGGATCAATATATATACAACACACCGATACTATAGATATTGATAAGCATCGCTCTTCTTTTCTAAATTTTCATTGACTTTCAAAAAGGCCTAAACCGAAAGTAGATTACACACTCCTAAGATAGTTCTTCTAAAGGAAAACCAGTTTACAGGCTACTTGGAACTCTGTAAAACATCGAGGACTCCCGAAAGATTAATGGAGGCTTACACTAGGACTTCACTTCCGGCATACAATCTTAATGTGTCATCTCCCGAGGGAGATGACAATTAAACCATGCTTAACTCTGGATTCGAGCAGCCCTTTCCCAGTAATTTAGTAGGCAAACTTTCCATCAGTACAAATCTTATGTTTTGAAATATACAGATTATTGTTTTTCTTTACATTATTTTTGTCACAAATGACAGAAGAAAGGCGGACTGGTATATGGATATAGCTGACTGTCTTTTAAAGAGAATATAAGAGATGAAAATAAATTAGCATACCTGTTTTATTAACTGAGCCCCATATGAATTTCACAAATAATTCACAATATTTCCTTTTAAACTCCATTTTACGTAACTTTGTACATGCCGTCTTAGCCAAATTCTCTATACACGATATGATCAATTCCCAAGTAATTTGATGTACACATATGACGGTGGTGGATTTAATCAAAATGACAATACACCATTATAAAATTAGAACATTTTATTTTTTTAGCATTTTTATTCATTATTAAGAATTAAATTATATCTCTACATACCAATATTACAAAAACTTGTGTTCTAAAATTCATGTCATCTGGCCTATTGGACATTTGCGAAATAGCGTACAGTGAACAGCGGACTTCGGACTTCAGACATTTAAGGCGGACTTTTATAACTTATAAAAGTCCGCTTTAAATGTCTGAAGTCCGAAGTCCGCTGTTCGCTGTACGCTATTTCGCAAATGTCCATTATGACGTCATAATGTAGCACTGATTTAGTCAAGGTAGAATATTTTGTATGCTTCATTATTCCCCTTGTGTAGTGTAGATTCTAAAGTATTAAATTCATGACAGAGAGAGGGGTATGGGTCCACAAAAGGTATATCAAGAGGGGAAATCTGATAAGAACTGCTTAACCAAAGTTACTCAGGTGAGCGATGTGGCCCATTTTCAGTTTTCAGCTTTGTCAGTTTAGGCATTTTGGGTTTTGGGAGATTGTCGACTAAAAAGTAGGTCATAGTGACCTACTTTTGACATTTTATTGCTATATTTTAGTATCTCAGGCACTTGTTGGCAAAGAATCATCAAACTTTGTCAGTTGAGGCATCTTGGGTTTTTGGAGAATGTCAACCAAGAGATAGGTCATGGTGACCTACTTTTGAATATCTCAGGTACGAATTAGCTTAGAATCATCAAACTTTGTCAGATTAGGCACCTTTGGTTTTGAAGAATGTCAATCAAAAAGTAGGTCACTGTAACCTACTTTTGATATTTTATGGCTATATTTTATCATATCTGGTACTTATTGGCTTGGAATCATCAAACATGTCAGTTGAGGCATCTTAAGGTTTCATTGAATGTCCAACAATAAGTAGGTCAAGATGACCTACTTTTGAATGTCTCAGGTACTTATTGGCTTAGAATCATCAAATTTTGTCAGTTTAGGCATTTTGGGTTTTTGGAGATTGTCGACTAAAAAGTAGGTCACTGTGACCTACTTTTGACATTTGATGGCTACATTTAATTATCTTCGGTACTAATTGGCTAAGAATCGTCAAACTTTGTCAGATGATGCATCTTGGGTTTTCAGAGAATGTTGACAAAAAAAGTAGGTCATGGCGACCTACTTTTGAATATCTCAGGTACTTATTTAATTAGAATCGTCAGTCTCTGTCAATTACTGTATCTTGAGTTCTCTGAAAATTTCAACCAAAAGGTAGGTCAATGTGACCTACTTATGGTATTTTATAATTATATTATATCTTCAGTTTTAACTGGCTAAATATTATCAGACTTTGTAAGTTAATGCATTTTTTGGTATTATGATACTTATACTTCTAATAGAAGTGATAGATTGTACAATTTATCAGAAGAGCGATTTAAGGCCCTTGGGCCTCTTGTTTTTGATGTGATATATTTATGTAAAAATGCATTTAATTTTTAAAAATCTTATTCCCTCATCTATTTTTTGAGTATCTCTTTCATTTCTGTTGTAGCTAATATTTGTATTCCTAAAAATATCAAAGGAGCATGCAATTGGAATAACTAAAGGAGAGACAGGAAAAAAAGATGATCCTGGAAAGGTTATTTACACTGAACCATTGGACATGTTAAAAGCAGAGGACAGGTCCAGAATGGCTGAAATCCTGTTTTTCCTGGGATGTCTTCAAGATCCGAGGAAGCATAAGTTTATCTAATTAATAGATGTTACTTTACAAGTGTAATGTTAAGCAAGTTGAAAATTTTGCAATTTTCTCTAAAATTTTGGTATATAATTGTAGCAAGAAGAACTTTAAACATTTTTGTGATGTCTTGAAATATAACAGTAACCTCAGAAAATGGGAATTAATTGTTAGCAATATCTAATTCTTGTTATTTCAAAACCTTTGCTAAAGATACTGTAGACAAACTTTTTTCCAGGGGGTCATAATTCTGCGGAATCTCAATTTCTGTTTAATCGGTGGGTAGAAAATTACGTGGATTTCTTACACTGTCACTAAATGCCTTACATTTATGTTAAATATGCTTAAAAAAAATTTCTGTGGAACAATTGTGACCACGTTCTTAGCGTAAATTAATACCACGCGGAAAAAACTACTTCTAAAATACAGTACCCAAACTAAATTGTTGTTAAATTTGTTTGTATGGTATATACAACATTGCAATTCTATTAATGTTATAAAATACTAAAAATAAATTTCTTACTGCCATTTAATTTGGTGTCATTTGCATTGATTTTGTAAATACATAAAATAAAGTAATAAAATTGAATTAATAATTTAATCGACATGTTCTTTAAATATCAATAGAATTTTATCTAAAATTGCTTGAAAATTAATTACAGCAACATTCTATTGGTATGTGTACAGATATTTTACTGTTATAGCATTATTACATCTTGTTTCTTGTGTTATTTTCATCATGGCTTCAAAGTTTTGACTACATTGATTTGGAAAAAAGCTTGTTTTGGTTGTCAAATGTATATGTATGTTGCATTATAAAAAAATAATTTATGATATGCAGCTAGGTTAAGGCCTACCAAAGATAGATCAGTCTATGCAGATCTTCGGGAAATCTATTATGATGTCACGTTGAAACTGCATAGATGAATTTAGGCAAACACATAATGATTTTCTTTTTCATACACTTTTACATACAGTGATTTCTCCTAAATAATGTAAACATAAATTCATGTGTAACTTATCTTGTTATCAGAACACTATTTGAAAGTAAAATTAAAACCAACTTGATCTTACTGTACTGACAGATATGATGCCTTAGACTAGTTTGACACGCAGTTTCTCTGTACTTGAGATGCAGATCAAGTTAAAATGCAACTTGTAAATGTGAAATTTAAAACTAAATAAGCAAGATTTGACTAAAAGTGATTCATACTTTTGAATGCATTTATATTTCACTGTCTTATTAAATTGATAATGAATAGGTCTCTTATAGAGTAGCAGTTTTGCACTTTTATACAGAAACGTACTACAATCACATGCACACTCCCTTGAAAATCTCAAAAGTTCAACGATATCCGCTCAATTATAAATTATGATATTTTGTACACATGTAGTATTGTTTTTACTATTCTTAAAGTGCTGGAAGCAATTTGTGTTCTGTTGATTTTTCTAAAAATCTTTACATTATTTCAATGCATATAGTGTTAATGCATGAGGCTTTTAAAGAGATAGCTACATTTTATATAATTCCCATTCATGGGGAAGTTGCTCCCAGCACTTTCAGGTTAAGAAATTTGTCTTAAAGAAAACACAATCAATTTCTTGGTGAAAAAATTATCGGTATATTTTTGAACTTTTACGATCTTTTTATTTCTACATATTTTTTTCTTATTTTAACCTTGTCAGATGACAAACAGCTGATTTACGTAAAGTCGCTTTGGGCAAACTGGGTTGAGACTGATACATACGTATGCATTAGTACAATTCCCAGAATGAAAAATTATTTAATCGATTTTTTAAAGAATATTTTAAGGCATATTTCCTATGGGTGCCCTCTTTCATTGTTTCACACTTTCTTTAAAATATTGCAAAACAGTTACCATGTATTTTATATATTCATATATTTAAAATTTTGTAAGTCCAAAAGCATGCATTTGAACTTTCAGACAAATTTGGTTTTTTATATTTCCCTGAGAAATTTTAAAAGTTCAAATTTGAATGAAAAAAAAATTCCATTCAGCATTTGATTTGAATTGAAGTGAATTCACTTAATTGTAATGTATTTGTTATGCAGATATTTATTGAGTATTGCAAAGCTGATTTACAGATCCCCAGAACTAAGCTGATAGACTGTTTCACGGTAACTGCACTACTGCTCTTTTGCAGGGCAAAATGATGTAGTTTGGGGAAATATGATGTAAAAGTAATTGTTTAAAATATGTCATTTAACTATCTATCAACAAAAACTCTGCCAAATGTTATTATTTTCACCTGCAAAAGTGTAGCACCGCAGTTATCCTGAAGGGGCTAATTATAAGTTTTACGATAATACTTGTGTTGTTTATGCCATATTTGCTCAATTTGATGTTAATAAAATGAAAGACTTGTATAGGTATTGCCTGCTGTCTAATCCTGCAATATTTATACATTATAAAATATTGTTTAAATTAATAAGATAACACATTATGCTGTGTAAACGACATAAGCCTGTAAATCTTTTGTATATATTGTCATATTTTATGTTGAGGTGCATATGATTTTTTAGGTCACCTGAGTCACTCAGGTTACTAATTGCTATCCGTTTTCATCCGTTGTTGTACGCCGTGTGTTAACATTTGGACATTTTCAGCTTCTTCTCTGAAAGCACAGGACCATTTTCAACCAATCCATATTTGGTATACGGCATCTGTGGGTAAAGCAGAACAAAAACTTTGAATTTAATGGTCCCTCATCTTCTGGGGTCAGAGGGATTGGGCCAAAACCACTTAAATTAATGAAATTTTGAAAAATCTTCTTCTTTACTCCTGGACATCAAGCAGGCAAAATGTAGGCATGAATGTAATAAGCATTGAATCCTCTACCAAAACTATGTAATTCATGGCTCCTAGGTCCGGGGTTCTAGTGCTACATGTAGGGCTGAGCTATATACATTATAAAGTGAAAATACATTATTTCTTCAAAAATCTTCTCTGCACCAGGATATTGAATAAACTAACTAAATACATATACAAGGGTTGTCTCAAAAAGTCGTAGACAATGTTTATAATTTTTTAATCATGCAACCAATACTTACCAAATTTTGCAAAGACATAATATAGTTAATGGTCTTTAAAACTGTGGATTTTTAAATAAATATCTTTCATATTAATAATATAGGACGACTTATATGAAGGCCGATCAGGCCTGTCGGCGCAAGGACAAAATTCGGAATAATTTACGCATATAACGATCACATTTCCTTTACTACTGTGTAATACATTGAACTAAAATTTAAATCACCGAAACCAGAATAAAAATTTTAATATGTCAAAATTTCATATAAATATCATTAGAAACAGAGGATTGGTGTCATGATTTTCATAGTATCGTTGAAATTAAGTTTGATGAAAATGACGTCGTCAAACGCGTAGTTGGCGCACGGAGATGTAATAAATTGGTATGGATATGGTTAATATACATCAGAGACGGGGAAAAAAGAGTACAGAAGTGACATTACACACCGGATTTTAATAAAGAAGTTCTTTTTAAATTGCACGATATTCAATGAGAGTTTTTCTTCTGTACCGAAAGTAGTTAATTATGGCATGTAAGAAGTGAAGTGCTGTTTGATAAACGCAGACAATGTTGAAAAATCTGGACGCAAACGACTTCAAACAATTTGTACTCTCTTCTGCCTACAATGTAAGGCGATCTTTCGACTGAAATTTTAATCTGCTTTAAAAACGAACAAGTAAAATACAAACGAACAGTAGTGAATTTAAATATGTCCGTTAATAAAAAGTGGTTTTTCACTTTAAAAAAAATATTGAATGTTAATAACAGCTAGTTAAGCAGACAAAGAGATCATGACGTTATAAGAGACGTTATTTACGCTTGCTTTCGTGCGCCCGTGTACACTTATATTCTTTCTTTATTTTTTCATAATTTTCTTATAAGATGTGATATCATTATGAAACTTAAAGTGCATGATCATAATATGTTACTCTTTGCTATGACAAGGAAAAAAAATTAATAAAGCAAAGAGAAACAAAACTGTTTAACCTGTCTACGACTTTTTGGGACAACCCTCTTATATGATAAGAAAGAGTGTCTCTTTAAAAATTGTGAATTTTATGCCCCAGGGTCAGGGGTTCTGGTGTTAGGGTGGGTCTCTATTGATCATATAGTGAAAATGCATTAAATCTTCAAAAATCTTCTTCTCTGCGCCTGGATATTGAATAAACTAACTGAGTACATATTAGATGAGGAAAAATGCATCGTCCAAAATTGTGAATCAAATGGCCCCAGGGTCAGGGGGTTCTAGTGGCAAGCTGGGGCTATGAAGATTTTGTGGAAAAAAAATTTTCTTTGAAAATCTTCTCCTCTGCTCCTGGGCATCGAATAAATTTACCAAGTGCTTGGCTATGTTGAAGGAGGCTGTCTTATCCAAAATTTAGAATTTCATTGCCCCAGGGTCAGGGGTTCTAGTGGCAGGGCGGGGCTAGATTACATAGTGAAAATGCATGAATTCATTGAAAATCTTCTCTGATCATGGGCATTAAATAAATTAACCAAGTACATAAACAAGTTGAATAAGGCCTTCTCTTAAAAAATTGTGAATTTCACGGCCCCAGGGTCGAGGCTTCTAATGTTAGGGTGGGGCGATAAAGATTACATAGGAAAAATGAATTATTTCTTTGAAATCTTCTTCTCTGCTCCTGGGCATTAAATAAAGTAACCAAGTGCTTAGATATGTTGAATAAGGCTGCCTCTTATAAAATTGTGAATTTCATGGCCCGTGGGTTGGGGGTTCAGGTTTAGGGTAAGGCTCTATTGATTATAAAATGAAAATGCATAAATTCTTGAAAAATCTTTTTATGCATACTAGTACTTCGGTATTAAACCAATGAACTATGTACATAATTATGAGGAGGAAGGATGCCTCTTTGAGATTTGTGAATTTCAGGGCCCTGGAGTCAGGGTTTCTTGTGTAAGGATGGGGCTCTACTGTTTATATAGTGAAAATGCATGATTTTTTTTTTTTTAAAATCTTTTCCTTTGCTCCTTGGTTTTATACCAATGATCCAAGTGTATATATCCATGATGAATAGAGATGCATCTAGTGAAATGATTAATTTTATGCCACCAGGGGAGGGGTTACATAGTCTTGAAATAAATTAATGCTTTGAAACTGCTCTTTGGTATTAATCAAATATTTTATGATAAAATTTCCAACATATTAAAATATGTGGCCCCAGCATCAGTGGTTCCTTTGAGGTGGAGTGCACAAAAGGTTATAAAGTGGAAGTGCATTTTCTCTGTTACACTGATACACTTCTGAGTATTAAGTTAATTGAGTAAGCATGCTAAGGTTATAATTATGATAAGCAATGGAGCCTCTTTCAAAATTATGAATTTCATAGCCTCCGGATTAAAACACGAACCAAATTTAATTGTTGAAAAGTTGTTACATAATACTCAGGTGACCTATAAGACCTGTGGACCTCTTGTTTTAAATTATTATTTATCATTCCTTTTACCATGTCGACATTGAAACCTTCAGTGGTAGCTGTTTTGATTGCCTAGTCTTTAGCTGTATGGTTGAGCTTTTATGATCACCCATAATCCATTT